GAGCGCCGACCGGTCGTCGGCCCTGGTGCACACGCTGCCCGAGCTGAATGCCATGACGGTGCGGTACGCGGCGCCCGAGGTGATCGGCGCCTTCCAGCGTGGTGTCCCCCTGGAGCCGGAGCTCCTCTTCGCGGGGGACATTTACAGCGCGGCGGTCATGCTCAACGAGTGCCTGACCCGCGCGGCCGTGTGGCCTGGGAAGGATCTCCAGGGCATCGTGGCGGCTGTGATGGCCGGCGGGCGACCGGACATGTCGGCCCTTCCGGCTGCCGGGCCTTTTGCCGCGGCCGGAGACCTTATCCAGGCAGCTTGGCAGGATGACCCGGCGCGCCGGCCCTCGGCGGCGGCCTTGCGCCAACGGTGTGCCGGGCTGTTTGTGGCCGCCGGAGGTTTGGGCAGCGACTCGGGGCCGTGACATGCGCGCTCCGGTTTTGGTGTGCGAAAGCAACCACCCCGTGCTTGAGCCTCTCTCTCTCTCTCTCTCATATACACCTTGTGCTAAAGTTTCCCCGTGTCGCCACTTTTTTACTGTGTGTGTGTCTGCGCTCCCAGGCGCGCTGGCTTGGAAGGCGGGCCGGGGGCCGGCAAAAAGGAGCGGGACGCGGGACGAAAAATAGTGATAGCCCACTGTGGGGCTCGAACCCACGACCCTGGGATTAAGAGTCCCATGCTCTACCAACTGAGCTAAACAGGCTTTCGATCCATGCCATTTGCAGGTGCAATTTATACTTTCGCAGAATTTGTATTCCCCCCCCGAGGCATGGCTGTTCCATTGCAAGCCCCACGGGCCATGCTCCGGGCGGTGGACGAGAACGAAGAAAGTGTCCCGTCGCCGCTGGGTGGCCTCTCGAACCAGGATCGCCTCCTGGCCGCCACGCCGGCCCAGGGCCATTCCTCGCTGGGGATGTGCCCTGCCCGGTCGCCCGGTGGCAAGAGCCCGCGCACCGAGGACGGTCCTCTGTCGGTTTCGATGGTACCGAAGGGGATGGACCATGCCCCCCTTCGCTCTCGGTCCATGTGTCCTCGCCCCCGCCGGCCTGGCACGCTTCCGCGTGGCCTGAGGTCTCTCATGCGACCTCTCGGCCACCTACCGATCGGGGGAACGGGAATGCACATATATACATCTGTCGCACTGGGCTCCCCCCCCCCCCCCCCCCCCCCCTCCACTCCCTGGCTCAACCTTTGCAGCTCTTTCTGGCTTCGAGAGGGCATGGCTCCCCCCACGAGGGCTGCATGTATTTTGGGCGCCAGATCCGAAAGGGATGGCATGCCATCCTCGGGGACCCGGCCCAGGGAGCGGCTTTGGGTGTCCCCGGAGGCGCTGCATCTCGAGAGGGTGACTAGGCGCGGCAAAGGCAGCCACACAAGGACCAGGGAGGCTGGCGAGGGGTGTCGGGGCGGGCGAGTACATCGGGACCTACGTCGGGCCGCTCCGGAGGGGGGGCGAATGACAGCGAGAGGGCCGCCGGAAGGTGCCGTCCCCCAAAGGGAGGCGGACTTCCCCTCACAGGGTTGCGATGCTGGGAGACGGCCGACACAGGAGGCCCTTTAATGATGGTGTCCAGGGCAGTGGTGAAAGGCGGGTGGGCAGGGAGGGCCCGAGGTAAAGGGCCAAGGCAACGAGACGGGGATGGGCGCCGACATGCGGGCCTGTTCCGGCCGGCGGATCGTCTGGGAAAAGGGCCATCCCCGAATCGGGATATCGCGCCGAGAGGCCTTCTGACCCCGGCGACAGTGAGGGAGGCGGGCGGCGCGAAGCCCTGGCAGATGGTGGGGGTGAGGATGAAGGTAAAGGGTGGTTTGAATACCAAAACTCGTGTGCAAACCCCATGGCCGCGTAGCTCAATTGGATAGAGCACCTGACTACGGATCAGGAGGTTGTGTGTTCGAGCCGCATCGTGGTCAACTTTTTTGTGTGCAGAGGGGCGGCCGAGAGGAAAAGGGAGGCAGCAAGGGAATATAACAAGCCCGCGAAAGAGAGAGGAGAGGGGGCGAGGGGCTGCGCGCCGCGGGCCGCTTCTTTCTCTCTCCCGGGGGAGGGCGTTTGAGGCAATGTTGGGGGCATAAAATATATATTGTTCCCAATATATTAAAGGCTCTTTTGACAGTGGCAAATGATAGATCGTCGTGTCTCCGGCAGCAGAACACCGCCATCAGAATGGTTCTCTCCCAGAGAGGCATCCCGGCCTGCCTGTGGCGTTTGCCGGGCCGGGCACGAAGAGCTGGGCCCGCTCCATGTTCTGGGGACGCTTCTCTGTCCGGGCGCCTGGGAGCGGGCGGCGACGAAAATGCATGCGGCCCAGTGCCGGGGACATTGCCGGGGACATTGCCGGGGTGTGTTCCCTTTCCCGGGGCCCGGGAATCGAGAGGGAGCGCCGCCAGGAGGGCGGGGCGGCTGCCGGGGATAAAGACCCCAGGCGAGGACGGATCAGGCTGTGAGCCCGTGCGAAGGAGGGGGGTGTGTGACTGACGACCGGGTCCCAGGCGCGCCTTTCGCACAAGGCGGCATGGCCCCCGCCCGAGTATGCGGGCTAGTCAGCGGCCAAAGCACCTTGACTGTGGGCCGAGCCTGCGTGCGCGAGGGGCGCCCAAAGGGCCAGCCGGAAGGCCCAGCAAGCGGGTGTTGTCCGTGGGACCTGGGGCGCGGGCATGCACAAGACGCCTGGTCCCGGGTGGGCCCCTGACGCGGAGTCGCAGGCGGGGCAACCCGGTCGCGGGCCCGAAGCGTGGTTGGAAATGCGGAGAGGGGGCCGCGGCGGGATCGCAGCTTCCGGCCCATGCACCAGCTGTGCCGTGATCCGGGGCAAGTCTCCCGGGCGTCTGGCCGACCATGTCATCTCAGGGGACCCTGTCGCTGGCCGAGGCGAGGGGCGATCGGCCGGCCCGGTGAGGCTTCCACTGACGGATATGACGCCCCGGTGGGAGAAGGCACTGTCAGCCGGGCCCCTTTTCCCGGAGTGCGTGTTGGATCTCAAGTGGCCTCTGTGGCCCACAGTGATGGCCTTGCTGTGCGCCCGGCAGCATGGGCTCTCGGCTGGAAAGATGAAGTGAAAAGCACGCCCACGCCCACCCATGCGCATAGGCCGGCGTAGACGCATTCACCTCCCGGGCTTGCCCGGCATCGTGTCAGGCCGGACTTCGGCCCGAGCTTCGGGGACTCTGGGACGGCCGCCGGGGCTGCCCATAACCGCCATGACGGCCGGCCGAACATCCTTAGATCCGTGTTCTCCGGGAGATCGTGCAGACGCACACGGAGGCACGACCTGCCCGACGGGTATGTCTTTGCCCGGGTCTGTGTCAAGGTCACACATGGGCCCGAGGGGCCTTACCATGTGGGCAGCCCCAGATCTCGGGAGACGCAGGACGCGGGGGGGGGGGGGGCTGTCGCGCCCGGTCGCCCTCATGGGGCTCGGCGGTCTTGGAGCAGGCTCCTCGCGAGCCGTCCATCCTGCCCGGTGACTGGGCTGCCGGCAGGCCCTCCCACGGCCGGTGTCCCGCCCTCCTGCTTTGCTGCCATATGGTGGCTGGCTAACGCGTTGCGGCAATATTAATTGTGTATTCGACGACGGGCTCATTCATGGCCACACAAAGGTACCTACTGGCCGGGGGACCGGGTGGCGCCCCGGCCGGCGGCAGCCCATCCCTCGCGGAAGGGAGGCCGCGGGCGGCGGGAAGCTGCGGTAGGGGGGCGCTCGCAGGACACATTTCCTTCGCCGGCCGGTCCTCCCCCCCCCCCCCCCCCCCTGTATGCATCCCGACCGGAATCGACATTGAGGCGCGGCCACTTGCCCAGCCTCGATGCCCGGGCAGGAGCATTTCGCCGGGGGGGGGCCTGCTCATTCCGCCTCGCAGGAGAGGCCATCCGAGCTGAGGGCGTAGCCCGCGGCACAGGACACGCAGTGGAGCGCACGCTCGGCCGGGTCGTGCGGGCTCTTGACAAAGCAGCTGAGGCAGTGCTCCGGGCAGGGCACGGCGAAGCGATCCTTCTGCGTCTGGTAGAAGAGCCCCCAGCCGGGCCGGGTAAGGGCGTCGGCGGTGCACCGGGCGGTCGGGACCACGTCGAAGGACTCGGCCGGGAGCTCCTTGACGCGAGGCACATTGTTGGGGCTGGCGGTGCACTGGAGGCAGCCGACGCCGAGGCCATTGGCGCAGGTGCCGCAGCCGCCGCCGCAAGGGAGGCACTGCTTGGAGTGCTTGTAGTAGCCCTCCGGGCAGGTGGTGAAGCACTCGCTGTCGCCAAAGAGCGCGTGGCCGAACTTGCAGGCAGTGCAATTGGTGGCGGTGGTGCATGTGGCGCAGCCCGAGTCGAGGCAGGGCTGGCACCGGCCGCCCGACAGGAAGTACCCCTCCGGGCACTCGGCGGCGCAGAATTGGCGAGCCCCCTTTTCGCGCGGTACCACCAAGTACATGCCGGGATGGCAGTGGGTGCAGTTGTTGGTGTACAGGTCGCAGGCCCGGCAGTTGGGGTTGCATGGGCGGCAGCCCTGCTGCGAGCCGGGCAAATCAAAGTCCCAAACGGAACCGCTCCCACAGGGGGTGTAGCACTCGTCGGCGCCCATGATGTAGGAGGGGTAGCAGGCGTAGCAGTAGAACTTGCTGGTGCACAGGGCACAGCCACTGTCGCAGGTGGGGCAGAAGCCCTTCCGGCCGAAGTGACCGCCGGGGCAGATCCCGCGGCAGACATTCTCATGGAGGTAGTCCCCGGACCAGCAGGTGAGACACAGCCCCGGGTCCTCGGAGGCACAGTGGGTGCAGTCCTGGACGGTGCATTTGGCACAGCTGCCAGTGAGCGAGTCTTTGGCGGTGCCGGCCGGGCAGGCATGGCCGCAAGACCCATCCGGGTGGGCGAAGAAGCCCCGCAGGCAGGAGAGGCACTTGGTGGGATCGGTCGGGTCGCATTGGCGGCAATTGGCCGGGCAGGCGAGGCAGACCCCGGTGCCGTTGTCGACGGTGGTGGCCGGGCATTGGCGCTCGGCGTCCGGATCGCCATTGGCCCCGTAGCCGCGGATGCACGCGCCCACATGGACCGCCGGGCCGTGGGAGAAGGTCTTGGAGCTGTGGGCCAGGAGGAAGCGTCCGGCCGGGCAGCTGGTGCAGTCCTTGGGCCCGGGGCCGGCGCACTGGTCACACGCGTCGTGGCATTGGAAGCACACGCCGGGCCGGCTGCACTTGAGCAGGTGCGCGTGCTCCGGCCGGCCGGCGGTGTCGCTGGTGGAGGGGTCGGCATTGGCCATGGGCCAGTCGGCGCAGTGGAAGCCCTCCGGCACCAGGCGCTTGGGGATGCAGTGCGCGCCGCAGGCGATGTGGTCGGCCGCCGGGCAGGTGCCGACGCAGCGGCGGTTGGCATCGAGCCAATGGCCCGGCTCGCACTGGGCGCAATCCTCATTCAGGTGGGGGTGGGCCAGGACCTGGCAGCCGGGCACCGGCTGGGGCTCGGCCCGGCAGAGGCCCTCGCCGGCGGCCTGGAACCGACACACGGCGCACTGCTGGTGATTGCCGGGGACCACATTCCAACAATGGTCCGGGCCGATTTGCACGAGGCTGGCGCCGGACACGGCCAGGTCCGGGAGCTCGTTGTCCAGGTAGGCATACCCGTCGACCAGGCGGTAGGCGCTGCTGTATTGCAGGCAGGTGACGTCGCCATCCTCGTACTTGGCGCGGATGCACCGGCGCAATTGCGGCACACAGTAGTCCGGGAGCTGGGAC